ATTTAAAACGAAAATTGGAACAAACGATGCGAACAAAAGGAAGCTATTTGATATAAGCTTCTTCACAGTTCCCACGTCAAAAACCAACCTACAATATGTCTTCTAATACTCTTTCCACTCGCACAGTCAAGATGAAAAAAATCGGCAATATTTATACTGGTAGTCTCTAAACTCTACTTATATACGAAGAATCAACAGCATTTGTTTCCGGATCTTTGTCAACGGCTGGACTTTCTCAAAGTTAATGCTTTAAGCCAGATGAAGAAGAGTCTTGCTTCGTCCAAAGGGGGTTTATAGAATAATCAATTGATTTCGATATTATGTATTTTTGCTGTATGGCTAAGGTAGCAGATAAAATCCCAAAGCCTAGGCTTTGCCCTTGGTTCTGGAGATAGAACCAACCATCTCTTTAGCAGTGCATATTCGGACCCTTAAGAGGGGCGCGATGGGCAAAATAGCACTCAAAGCTGTAATGCGTATTAGTTGTTTGAACTTGTTTTTGTAACTGTGTCATATTGACAGGAAGACCTAGAGGAACCTTGTCCAGAGTCCATGGTATGCCTGACAATCTCCATAGTCGGACCGAGTCCCGGAGTCCCGATGTCTCACAACATCAAAACACCACCACTCAGACCTGCTAAACTGGGTCCAAGATTCTGGTATCCAAATAAGAATTACGTTTATGCCAGACCTGCAGTAGTCAAATCCCGTCACCTTGTCAGCAGAAAGTTACCTAGAGCAGAAAACAAGCGGTGCTGGCTTGAAAATGTGCCAGACGGGATTCAAGAGGTTTCCTACTATTCCATAGCAAGCCGTAATGCCATAAATCCGCATATATATATATATATGTATATATAATTACATTTTATACAGATTTAATTATATATATTATATCATAATATACGCTGCATATGTATATATATATATGTATATATAATTATATTTTATACATATTTGAGTATATATAATATATCTTTAAATATACACTGCATATATATATATATATAATTACATTTTATACATATTTGATTATATATATTATATCATTACATATGAGCCGCAAATATATATATATGCATATATAATTATATTTTATACATATTTGAGTATATATATTATATCATTAAATATACACTGCATATATACATATATTTGCATTGTAAATATGTTTTTTCCTATCATTGAGTATTTTTACTAAATCGTCCCTGTCGGGCATGTGATCTAGATCATCCACTTGTTTACTAAAGCATTCACCTGTGGAGACGACCTCGCCAAAACTCGCAGATTTGGCCAGACACGATCGAACAGATCCTGGCGTACTTGACCAGTGTGACGATCGCGGATGCGCCGATTAAAATCTTTGCCTTCGAGCACTAAATAGTTCTCGCCCGGCTGAAGGATTCCACACTTGCTGGCGATCGAACGAGCCGTGTTGATGTTGTCTCCCGTCACCATGCGTACCACGATGCCAGCTCGTTGACACTGGGCGATGGCGGCCGGCACCTCGGGCCGTACGGGATCCTCGATGCCGACCAGGCAAAGACAGGTTAGTTGAGTAAGGATGTGATCTTCTTCATCCCAGTTTGGCTCTTTTTCGATCAAAATGTCGTTAGGCCGAGCCTCAGCCGGGTCTAAAGCACACAAAACAATAAATTAGAAAGTAACTAAAACAAACATAAAGATTCCATTGATATGCAAACTGTTTAAAGAAGTTAGCCAAGCCATCCTACATCTAAGCCAGGAAAAAATACTCGATTCCAAATGGAGTAAAATGAGGAGCAAGACAAATTAGATTATAGAAAGACTTGTTTTCAACAAATCCCAGAATATATTGATGTTGGAGTAGTTTTCATTCCGCCTCCTGTCTTCGTGCATGATGAATCTTCGTAAAGCGTTGCATTCTCTTCTGATGATGTCCGTCACAGGATGAACGAAAGCTCAGCAAAGATGTATTGAGGTTGCGAGATGATGAGCCGACAACGTATTCGTAGCTATAGTCACAGCTTCATGGCCACCCCTATTTGGATTCCGGTGAGGCCAAATTACAAATCCCTTCCATTCACAGCTTCAAACTAAATGAAAGAAAATGAATAAACACTCAAGAGAATAAAATATCCAAAAGGTAGACTCCAGTGAAAGCCGTGATTGCAAATTCGGAGAAGAGAAGAAATTATGATGCATCAGAAGAAGTGAAATGGCAGAGCCGATTGAAGCAGAGATTTTAAGCAGTAGAAGCCGTGGGTGCATGACTCATCCGTGAATAAGAAATTTCCATCATAAGTTATTTAACCTTTATAATTACAGACCAAAGAACTGATATTTTGTCTAAAATGCAAGTCATTTGGAAGCGGAAGAAATA